TTATACTGTTATGCTTAAATAGCACATTTTTTTTTTAATCTCTAGAATGACTTTCACATCTTATGATGATTTCAATGGAATATTTATGTAAAAATATCGACAATCTCAGGGCATGTATGCAAGATAAAAACCTGGCAAACCACCCCTTTATGTTAAAATGGGAAAGGGATTTGGATTCAGAAATTAATCTTTCGAATGGTATAAATTGGTAGCTTGCACATACAAATTGTTTTAACACCTCAATCACTGAAGCAAATTATAAAGTTTTATTGCACATGTATGTGGACCTGACGATTCTGGCTTCACACATTTTAGATGTACCCTCACCATAGAGGTTGCAGACAAGAGGGAATGGTATACCAAGTTTATTGGACATAAGAGTTAAACATTCTGGATATGCATACACAATTTCACCTAATCCCTTACATTAATTAACTGCAAATCCTAATTATATGATCTCCTAAACAAACTGGTTGAGGGGGCACCTGGACATAAAAACTAATCTCATTTGCTTTTATTGCAGCAAAAAAAAAAAGTGATTGTGAGCTCATGGCAATCAATATCTGTACCATTTGAACTGGTAAAAATCTAAATTGGCATGGTTAATGGTAAACAAAAAAACTATTGTCTGTCTTAAATTATGATGTGAAAACATTTGAAAGTATGGGATCCATGCACAAATACGACTAGTGGAACATAATAGAACTTTAGATTTCAACCCTATGGGATGAGTAATGGATAACAATTAGACGAGTGACAAACTGATTTAACCTGGTTTAGACCCCTGTATATTTTTTTTTTTTTTTTTTCTTCTGGCAACTCTGGCCTCCTCTACTACTCTTTACTCATTCCCAGTACAGTTGTTCTTGGTTCCTTTTGGTGGTTAAATGGTGGGATTAATGCAGTGCCCAACTTTGCAGTGTTTCTATATCATAACATATACCATCAATACATGTGGAAAATGAAAAAGTGAACGCTGAACCCATTGTATATAGAGTCATGGCCAAAAATATTGGCACCACTGCATTTCTATCAGATAATGCACCATTTCACCCAGAAAATTGTAATTACAAATGTTTAGGCATTCTCATGTTTATTTCTTTTGTTTGTGTTGGTATGACACACAGTGGAGAAACAAAAAGCCAAATCTGACACACTCCACGCAAAACCCCAAAAAATGGACTGGACAAAATTATTGGCACCCTAAATTTAATATTTGGTAGCACACCCCATGTAAAAAATAACTGATATCCTGTAACCATCAATGAGTTTCTTACACCTCTATACTGGAATGTTGGACCCACTCTTCTTTCGCCAACTGCTTCAGGTCTCTCAGATTGGAAGGGTTCCTTTCCCAACTGCTGTTTTTGAGATCTCTCCAGAGATGCTCTAGGGGATTTAGATCTGGACTCATTGCTGGCCAGTTCAGTACTCTCCAGCATATTGTCTTAAACCATTCCTGGTTGCTTTTTGACGTGTGCTTTCGGTCATTTTCCTGCTTTCCTCTGATGGATACCCTACTTTCTGACACTGGGCCCTACTTTGCACCTCAGAATCCTTTGGTAGTCTTCAGATTTCACAATGCCATGCACACTGTCAAAACATCCAGTGCCTGAAGCAGCAAAACAACCCCAAAACATCAGTGAACTTCCTTTGTTTTGACTATAGAAACTGTATTCTTTTCTTTAACCACCTCCCGCCCGCTGTATAGGGAAATGACAAACAGGCAGGAGCTCTCTTGTTCTGGGAGGACGTCATATGACGTTCTCCCACTCTAGCTGCGCATTCCGCCTCCGGGATACACGGCGTGGCGATTAGTGGTGCGCTGTGTTCCTAGGACATAGTGGATCACCAATCGTGTCAAAGAGTCAATGATGTAGGCTCTACCATGTGATCAGCTGTGTCCAATCACAGCTGATCACATGTAAAGAGGTTATTCACAGTCCTTTCATGCTGACAGCGCGTGAGGAGAACTGGTAAGCGGCAGTTCCCAGAGCGGGCATCTACACTGATAATCATGGCACTGATTATCAGTGCAGGCCCATCAGTGCTGCCTTTCAGTGCCTGTCATTGCCGCCGATCAGTGCACATCAATGCCACATATCAGAGCTGTCTTTCAGTGCCCATTAGTAATGGCTGTCAATGCCCATCACTGCTGCCTATCAGTGCCCATCAGTGATGCCTGTCAATGCCCATTAGTGCAGTCTATCAGTGCTACCTGTCAGTGCCTATCGGACACTAAGAAAAACTTAGTGCCCAGCAGGTAAGTGGTTAAAGGCCTCATTTCTTTTTCTGAAAACAGCAGGATGATGGGCTTTACCAAAAAGCTATGACTTCTGTCCACAGTACATTCTGCTAAAAGGATTTTGGCTTCCTCAGGTAAGTTTTGTCAAACTCCAATCTAGCTTTATTATGTACAGTGAAGGAAATAAGTATTTGATCCCCTGCTGATTTTGACCATTTGCCCACTCACAAAACATGGTAGGTGTATTGTAAAACTGAGAGACAGAATAGCAACAAAATATAAAAATAAATGCATGTCTAACAAATTATGCACTGATTTGCATGTTCATGAGGGAAATAAGTATTTGATCCCCTATCATTCAGCAGGATTTCTGGTTACCAGGTGTATTTCATACAGGTAACAAGCTGAGATTAGAAGCAGTCTCTTAAAGGGAGTGCTGCTAATACCATTTTGTTACCTGTATAAAAGACACCTGTCCACAGGAGCAATCAATCAGATTCCAAACTCTCCACCATGGTAAAAACCAAAGATCTGTCCAAGGATGTCAGGGACAAGGTTGTAGACCTACACAAGGCTGGACTGGGCTACAAAATTCGCCAAGCAGCTTGGTGAGAAGGTGACAACAGTTGGTGCAATCATTCGCAAATGGAAGAAACACAAAACAACTGTCAGTCTCCCTAGGTCTGGTGCACCATGCAAGATCTGACTTCGTAGAGTGTCAATGATCATGAGAACAGTGAGGAATCATCCCAGAACTACACGTGAGGATCTTGTCAATGATCTCCAGGCAGCTGGGACCACAGTCACCAAGAAAACAATTGGTAACACACTACGCCGACAAAGATTGAAATCCTGCAGTGCCCGCAAGGTCTCTCTCCTCAAGAAAGCACATGTCCAGGCCCATCTGAAGTTTGCCACTGAACATCTGAATGATGCAGAGGAGGACTGGTTGAAAGTGTTGTGGTCAGATGAGACCAAAATCGAGCTCTTTGGCATCAACTTAACTCACTGTGTTTGGAGGAGGAGGAATGCTGCCTATGACCCCAAGCACAACATCCCAACTGTCAAACATGGTGGTGGAAACATTCTGCTTTGGGGGTGTTTTTCTGCTAAGGGGACAGGACAACTGCACCGCATCAGAGACGATGGACGGGGCAATGTACCATCAAATCTTGGGTGAGAACCTTCTGCCCTTAGCCGGGGCATTGAAAATGGGTCGTAAATGGGTGTTCCAGCATGACAATGACCCAAAACACATGGCCAAGGCAACAAAGGAGTGGCCCAAGATGAAGCACATTAAGGTCCTAGAGTGGCCTAGCCAGGCTCCAGACCTTAATCCGATTGACAATTTGAACTTTCAGCTCCCTCCAGATTTTGAAACATCAGCCACCAAACCTTAATGACTTAGAGAGGATCTGCCAAGAGGAGTGGGCTAAAATCCCTTCTGAAATGTGTGCAAACCTGGTGGTCAACTCCAGGAAATGTCTGATCTCTGATTTCCAACAAAGGATTTGCCACCAAGTACTAAGTCATGTTTTGTGAAGGGGATCAAATACTTATTTCCCTCATGAACATGCAAATCAGTGCATAATTTGTTAGACATGCATTTCTTTTGTATTTATTGTTGCTAATCTGTCTGTTACAATACACCTACCATTTGATTTTTAGACTGATCATTTCTTTGTGAGTGGGCAAACATTCAAAATCAGCAGGGGATCAAATACTTATTTCCTTCATTGTATCTGTGTCAGCTGAGAGGTCCTCCTGCGTCTCCTGTCATATTGTCCCTTTTCATTCAGATGGCAACGTATAGTGTGAGCTGACAGTTGTACCCTGTGCCCGAAGGTCAGCATGAATTTGTCTGGAAGTTGATTGAGGTCCTTTATCCACCATTCGAACGATCCTTTTGTTGCAATCTTTGATCAATTTTTCTGGAGATGGACTTGTAACCTTGGTATTGTCCATGCTTTTTCCACAGTTTTTGTTCTCAAATCCTCAGACAATTCTTTTCTGCCCTTTCTATTCTCCATGCAGCACACAGAACAGAAAGGTTGAGTCAAATTTTCACCATTTTAACTGGTTACTGATGTGATTTCTATATTGTCAGCACCTGTTAATTGATACCATTTAGTTTAATTACAGGAGCATCACAGACTTGGAATGCAATTATTTCTTACAATTTTAAGAAGGTGCCACTTTTGTCCAGTCCATTTTTGGAGTTGTGTGAAATGTCAGATTTGGCTTTTTGTTTCTCCACTTTTTTTGTCATACCAACACAAACAAAAGAAATCAACATGAGAATGCCTAAACATTTGTAATTGTAACAGTTTTCGGGGCGAAGTGGTATATTAGGTGACAAATGCGGAGGTGCCAATTGTTTTAGCCATGACTGTACAGTGGTTTAATGATGCATGTGTACTGTGCAAATTGTACTGTACACTGGCAGAATATTTGTTACCCTTTTTATAAAACCATAAAAATCAATGAAACAAAAAAGTTACTAGTGGCAGTTTAGTCTTTCAACTTTCATTTCATAGAACAATTAAAGTGGAAAGTTAGTCAGAAAATTGAGTCCTACTAGATCAGCGGTTCTCAACCTGGGGGTCGCGACCCCTTTGGGGGTTGAACGACCATTTCACAGGGGTCGCCTAAGACCATCGGAAAACACATATTTCCGATGGTCTTAGGAACCGAGACACCGCTCCTGTCTCAGGCAATGTGTGGTGTCAGTGGGGGGAGGATATGCTGCCCCTGTCACCTGGCCACACCTCCGGGATCACTCAACAGCTCCGCCTCCTCGCTGCTGATTGGCCACCGGAACTGTTGCTCAGGAGAGGCACACAGGCGGCCAATCACCGGCGAGGAGGTGGAGCTTGGAGAGGAGGAGCCGAGCGGCAGCGCGCGTAGCTCAAAGAAGATCGAGGGAGCTGCAGGAGCGAGTGAAGAGAGAGGCCAGAGAAGGAAGACAGCTGACAGGTAAGTGCATACCTGGCTGCAGCAGCAAAATTGCAGACTGTAGATGGGAGAGGGAGAGAGCGAGCCCAGGCTGGAGCAGGAGTCAGCAAGGTAAGTATCATTGGTGTCAGTGGAAGGGATAGTGCCCCATAATTTGTGTCAATACCAACGATGGGGCGCTATTCTTCCCCCCACTGACACCAACGATGGGGTGCTATTCCTCCCCCCACTGACACCAACGATGGGGTGCTATTCCTCCCCCCACTGACACCAACGATGGGGTGCTATTCCTCCCCCCACTGACACCAACGATGGGGTGCTATTCCTCCCCCCACTGACACCAACGATGGGGTGCTATTCCTCCCCCCACTGACACCAACGATGGGGTGCTATTCCTCCCCCCACTGACACCAACGATGGGGTGCTATTCCTCCCCCCACTGACACCAACGATGGGGTGCTATTCCTCCCCCCACTGACACCAACGATGGGGTGCTATTCCTCCCCCCACTGACACCAACGATGGGGGTGCTATTCCTCCCCCCACTGACACCTGACACACTGACACCAACGATGGGGGCGCTATTCCTCCCCCCACTGACACCAACGATGGGGCGCTATTCCTCCCCCCACTGACACCAACGATGGGGCGCTATTCCTCCCCCCACTGACACCAACGATGGGGCGCTATTCCTCCCCCCACTGACACCAACGATGGGGCGCTATTCCTCCCCCCACTGACACCAACGATGGGGGCGCTATTCCTCCCCCCACTGACACCAACGATGGGGCGCTATTCCTCCCCCCACTGACACCAACGATGGGGCGCTATTCCCTCCCCTCCACTGACACCAACGATGGGGCGCTATTCCTCCCCCCACTGACACCAACGATGGGGCGCTATTATTCCTCCCCCCACTGACACCAACGATGGGGCGCTATTCCTCCCCCCACTGACACCAACGATGGGGCGCTATTCCTCCCCCCCCTGACACCAACGATGGGGCGCTATTCCTCCCCCCACTGACACCAACCGAACGATGGGGCGCTATTCCTCCCCCCACTGACACCAACGATGGGGCGCTATTCCTCCCCCACTGACACCAACGATGGGGCGCTATTCCTCCCCCCACTGACACCAACGATGGGGCGCTATTCCTCCCCCCACTGACACCAACGATGGGGCGCTATTCCTCCCCCCACTGACACCAACGATGGGGCGCTATTCCTCCCCCCCACTGACACCAACGATGGGGCGCTATTCCTCCCCCCACTGACACCAACGATGGGGCGCTATTCCTCCCCCCCCACTGACACCAACGATGGGGCGCTATTCCTCCCCCCACTGACACCAACGATGGGGCGCTATTCCTCCCCCCACTGACACCAACGATGGGGCGCTATTCCTCCCCCCACTGACACCAACGATGGGGCGCTATTCCTCCCCCCCACTGACACCAACGATGGGGCGCTATTCCTCCCCCCCACTGACACCAACGATGGGGCGCTATTCCTCCCCCCCACTGACACCAACGATGGGGCGCTATTCCTCCCCCCCACTGACACCAACGATGGGGCGCTATTCCTCCCCCCCACTGACACCAACGATGGGGCGCTATTCCTCCCCCCCACTGACACCAACGATGGGGCGCTATTCCTCCCCCCCACTGACACCAACGATGGGGCGCTATTCCTCCCCCCCACTGACACCAACGATGGGGCGCTATTCCTCCCCCCCACTGACACCAACGATGGGGCGCTATTCCTCCCCCCCACTGACACCAACGATGGGGCGCTATTCTCCCCCCCCACTGACACCAACGATGGGGCGCTATTCCTCCCCCCCACTGACACCAACGATGGGGCGCTATTCCTCCCCCCACTGACACCAACGATGGGGCGCTATTCCTCCCCCCCACTGACACCAACGATGGGGCGCTATTCCTCCCCCCCCACTGACACCAACGATGGGGCGCTATTCCTCCCCCCCACTGACACCAACGATGGGGGCGCTATTCCTCCCCCCCACTGACACCAACGATGGGGCGCTATTCCTCCCCCCCACTGACACCAACGATGGGGGCGCTATTTCCTCCCCCCCACTGACACCAACGATGGGGCGCTATTCCTCCCCCCCACTGACACCAACGATGGGGCGCTATTTCCTCCCCCCCACTGACACCAACGATGGGGCGCTATTCCTCCCCCCCACTGACACCAACGATGGGGCGCTATTCCTCCCCCCCACTGACACCAACGATGGGGCGCTATTCCTCCCCCCCACTGACACCAACGATGGGGCGCTATTCCTCCCCCCCACTGACACCAACGATGGGGCGCTATTCCTCCCCCCCACTGACACCAACGATGGGGCGCTATTCCTCCCCCCCCACTGACACCAACGATGGGGCGCTATTCCTCCCCCCCACTGACACCAACGATGGGGCGCTATTCCTCCCCCCCACTGACACCAACGATGGGGCGCTATTCCTCCCCCCCCACTGACACCAACGATGGGGCGCTATTCCTCCCCCCCACACTGACACCAACGATGGGGCGCTATTCCTCCCCCCCACTGACACCAACGATGGGGCGCTATTCCTCCCCCCCACTGACACCAACGATGGGGCGCTATTCCTCCCCCCCACTGACACCAACGATGGGGCGCTATTCCTCCCCCCGCAAAATGACAGTTATGAAGTAGCAGCGAAAATAATTTTATGGTTGGGGGTCACCACAACATGAGGAACTGTATTAAGGGGTCGCGGCATTAGAAAGGTTGAGAACCACTGTACTAGATCATTTAAGGCTGGCCCTCTTTTGCAGTTATAGCTATGTAAAACATTAAAAATAAGTGCTTATATTGTTTAAAATCCAGTAATACACTGCTACTCATGGGCTCTGGGCTTCAGCAAAATTGCAGCCTCCAGAAAGAAGAAACAGGAGCAATGCTTGAGGCAATTTACAGCACACCCTCATTTTGGTAGAATTATTATTATGGAATATATGTTCATTGCCAAAGAACATTATTTTTATTAAGTTGTAATGGGTAACGTTCTACTTTAACCCCTTGGTGCCAGCACCTCCCGGTCCTTTAAGGGTTCCAGAAGCCGGGAGGCGGGGCGGGAATTAGGGTCATGTGACCGCCATGACACACCGTCACGGCAGTCACATGATCGGGAACGGTCCCGATCGAAAGAGGAGATCCGGACCTTTCTGTGATACCGGACATGTGTGCTGGGAGCTCGCAGGGCGTGCGCGCTCAGCACGTATGTTCTTTTTTAATAGAATGCAAATGTGCAGCCGCTCGGCATCTGGGCCCAGACCCCAGGAGGCGCACATTTGCGTCCAGGCGGCGTGAAGATTTTAAGCAAGAATTCTGGTCACCACAAGCATCTACTCCAATTATATGCCAGTTTGCTTTTCTCCAGAATTGGCTTTGCTAAAACAAATAACAAAATGTCAAAAACAAACTGTCATTACCAACAATTAGTTTTTATTTTCTCTGGTTTACATTTTTCACGTGAAAATTTGGAGTTGCTATCAGTATAGATATCCCTGACGGTTTGTTTCTAATCCTCTGGAATCCATTATTTAACCTCTTCACTCTGGTACCTCCCGGCCCTTTAACCTCCCTAGCGGTCTGATTATGTCCATATTTCTGTGCTCAAAGCGGTACATTTTTTTTGCATGGAAATATGTTTTTCCATTTTTAGGCTGTAATTTTTAGGAATAACTCACTGAAATCTAACTGAAATCTGTCTACAAGAGTCCAGTAAACATCCCGGGTATGTTAAAATTTGAAACACGAAATCATAAATTATAATTTAATAACTAATCATAAATAATGTAATTCAATAATATCAAAGCAAAAATACTGAAATTTGAAATATAGCGCCAAGTTCGCACATCACTGAGCTCAGTCGCAAAATCGTTTTCAGTGTCTGACGAATTTCCCCACGAATCATCACTGAATTCTGCGAGTAGTTCTAATTTACTATCGCTGTTCTCTAGCTGGTCCAAAAACGTCGATTTTGATCTAAAGGGACGCTTTTTAGACACCATGGACGTTTCTCAGTTTCCAGGCAGAAAGAACAGTAAAAATTCAGGCAGGGCACAGGACAAAGCACTTGGGACAAAATGTATGTGAAATGCTTTGATACAGTAATGTTTTACTATGTGATTTTAGTGAATGTCACTTTTTGTCATTTTCAAATTTCCCGCCGCTCCGTCCCCACGGACAGAACCCAGATGACAGATGCCGGCATCCGCCGGAGGACATTGCCAGGGACACTGCAGGAGGGACATCGCGGGAGCGCAGGACAAGGTAAGAGAAGAACAGATCCCGGAGCAGTGCCGCATGGTAAGCCCGAGTGTAGCTCGGGGTTACCGCTTGTGGTACTGAAACTTTACCCCGAGCTACACTCGGGAATACCGTCAGGGAGGCTACAGGGTTTCAGACGCCGGGAGGTGTGGTGGGGTTTTAGGGTCATGTGACCCTAATCACAGCGGTCATATGATCGTAAAAGGTCCTGATCGCAAGGAGAGATTAAAACCTTTTCGTGAGACACCGGTTTATGTGCTGGGAGCATGCAGAGGAGAGATCTGGTGTCTGTCGCAGTAAAGAGTACCTGTAACTGCCCATGCTATCACAAAGGATGTTGGTCATCCCTTGTGATAGCAATAAAAGTGATCAAATAAATAGAGAATAAATTAATTACAAAATTAAAGCGTCCCGCCCCCCGTGCTCAAGTACAAAGGTGAACGCATGGGTATGTCCCGCACATGTATGTAAACGGCGCTCGAACCACATGTGACGTATTGCCACAACTATTATAGCAAGAGCAATAACTCTAGCACTAGAACTCCTGTGTAACTCTAAACTGGCTACCTGTAAATGTTTTTAAAACATCTATGGAGATTTTTAGGTACTGTAGTTTGGCACCATTCCACTGGTGCATGCAACTTTAAAGCATGATGTGTTAGGTATCTATTTGCCCAGCGTAACATCCTCTTTTATATGCTACCAAATAATGTGTATTATGTTGTGTTTTGTGCACTAAGATTCATTAAATTGTATTTTTTCCTAAAAAACTTGCGTTGAACAAACCACTGCACAAATGTCATGTGACATAAAAAAAATTGCAACACTCAACATATTATTCTCTCAGGCTTCTGCTTAAAAAATAGATAATGTTTGGGGTTCTAAATAATATTCTAGAAAAAAAAAAACGATGCTTTTTACATGAACCAGATGAATGTCAGAATTGGCCCGGTTGGGATGCAGTTTAAAAAAAACATTTATTCCACTTAATTAAGGAGTTTTATTAGTTTCACATGTGTATAATGATATTCATATCTCAATAGCTTTCTGGATATCTTACTTTCTCTTTTTTTCTACTGTTGTTTTTTTTTTTTTTTTTTTTTTTTTTTTTTTTCCCATTCATTCTTTGAAAAACCGGTGGCAGTTATTGCTCTTATTTAAGGAAGGGAGGCAGCAAATGTACATGCTGGGTACAGTGCATTTCTCTCTGAAATTCTGAGGAAAATGGGTCGTTCCAGACATTGTCCAGAAGAACAGCGTACCTTGATTAAAAAGTTGATTGGAGAGGGGAAAACATATAAAGTGCAGAAAATGATAGGCTGCTCAGCTAAAATGATCGCAAATGCTTTAAAATGACAACCAAAACCTGAAAGACGTGGAAGAAAGCGAAAAACTACCATTTGAATGGATAGAAGAATAGCCAAAATGGACAAGGACTCAGCCAACAATCAGCTCCAGGAAGATCAAAGAAGGTCTAATGTTACCTGTGAGTACTGTTACAATGAGAAGACGCCTATGTGAAGCCAAGCTATCTGCAAGAAGCCCCCGCAAAGTCCCACTGTTGAAAAAAAGACATGCTGAAGAGGTTACAATTTGCCAAAGAGCACATTGACTGGCCTAAAGAGAAATGGCGCAACATTTTGTGGACTGATGAAAGTAAGATTGTTCTTTTTGGGTCTAGTGGCCGGAGACAGTTTGTCAGACGTCCCCCAAACACTGAATTCAAGCCACAGTACACTGTGAAGACAGTGAAGCATGGTTGCGCAAGCATCATGATATGGGGATGTTTCTCATACTATGGTGTTGGGCGTATTTATTGCATACCAGGGATCATGGATCAGTTTGAATACATCAGAATACTTGAAGAGGTCATGCTGCCTTATGCTGAAGAGGAAATGCCCTTGAAATGGGTGTTCCAACAAGACAACGACCCAAAACACACCAGTAAACGTGCAACATCTTGGTTCCAGACCAACAAAATTGACGTTATGGAGTGGCCAGCCCAATCCCCGGATCTTAATCCAATAGAAAACTTGTGGGGTGACATCAAAAATGCAGTTTCTGAGGCAAAACCAAGAAATAGAGAACTGTGGAATGTAGTCCAATCATCCTGCGCTGGAATACCTGTTCACAGGTGCCAGAAGTTGGTTGACTCCATGCAACACAGATGTACAGCAGTTCTCAGAAACAGTGCTTATACAACTAAATATTAATTAAGTGATTCAAAGGAAAGCAAAATCTTCAAACAGTTTTCAGTTTATATAGTGAATGTTTGAGTTTGTAAAGAAGAATACAACACTGCTATTTTTTTGAACAGTCTAATATTCACTTTTCTTCAATTTTTTTTTAGAGGAACACAAATTTGATATATTTTTCTTCATGTTTTGATTTGGAATAGAATGTGTAGTGTTCTCAATGCATTTGTGTGTATGGAAATAAAAGCTATTAGAAGGATTTTGGGCTTTATTCAACACATTGCTATTATTTTGAACACAACTGTATATGCCTCCACTGAAACTGCAATAAAAAGTATCCTGCTTAAAAGCATTTGGTATCCTAAGAATAATTGTTTTGAAAACTGAGTATGGTTCTCTTCTCACATAAATTGTGCAGTGTATACTGTTCCCATAAATGTTTATGTAAAAGCTGTACCCAAATAGTGATATGATGAGGAACGTTGAAAAAGATTAAAGATTTAGAGGGAGAGGAGGGGAAAGATAAATGATTGAAGGATGTTTTATTTTATGCGATTAAAATTAAAGGAAACACATGGTTATGTTGCAGCAACTTTTCTTGATATTTGAAGACGTCTGAATTTTTTTTCGTGCACATTTGTTAACTCTGGTCCCTCCAGGACTCTGAACTAGATCAGTGTGGCTGGTCTGCTGCAGTGTGCATGTGGCTGTGCTGCTGGAGAAACTACCCCAGGTCACCACTAGAGGGAATGCTTGGACAACTGATAGACTGCATGAGATAAAATGAGCCTCCTGTGTCTCAAGATCTCCCTCTAGTGGATGCTGGCAGTGGTCATTTCAGCTGGGAAGCAGGATGTCAACAGAGACCCCATAGGGGCTGTAGGTCAGCGTCACAATTGTGCAGGGGGCACACATTCAATTAAAGTACACAATCCCAATTAATGTTTTTGCAGCTTGGTAGGGGAAAAAAAGGATTTGTACTGAAAGTCCAGTTATCCTTTAACCAATTCAAAACCAGGCACTTTTACCCACTTCCTACCCAGGACAATTTTCAGCTTTCGGTGATCTCAGTTTGAATGACAATTGTGCTGTCATGCAACACTACCCAAACTAAATTTTTATAATTTTTTTTTACCACACACAAATAGAGATTTGTTTTGATGGTATTTAATCACCACTGGGTTTTTTATTTTTTGCTAAATAAACAAAAAAAGACAGAAAATTTAAAAAAAAATACGTTTTTCATTTCTGTTATAAAATTTTGCAAATAAATAATTCATAAATTTAGGCCAAAATGTATTCTTGTTCTGCTACATTTCTTTGGTGAAAATAACCCAAATTGGTGTATGTTATTTAGCCTGTAAGAAAGTTAGAGTCCACAAACTATGGGATATATCTGAAAATCAATCAATCCTGATGTACTGATGACACTGATCTGATTTCTTGAGGCCCTAAAATGTCAGGACAGTACAGATATTCCCAAAATGACCCCTTTTGGAAAGTAGACAGTCTGAGGTATTTAGCAAGAGGCATTGCGAGTTTTTAGAAGTTGTACTTTTTTGTCTTAATTTTTTTTAGAAATTAAGAAATTAAACTTTTCTTCACAATTTTTTTTCACATACTGTCACCATGCAGTTTTTTTTAATAAAACACTAACCAGAGTAATTTAAAAAATAATACAAATTCCTCCTGCACTATATGGAGTACCTAGAGATTAAAGCTGCTCACACTCTAAACTGATACCTCATACAGTGAACCAAAATAAACCAATAATATAGTGCAGTGCTAATACAGTACTATCCCAACATCAAATCATATAAATAATCTGGTAAATAATCCACACATGTGAATTAAAGTGTTAACATACTAAATATATATACACCAATAAATAAATATACCAATAAATAAAGTGCCACAATGTGCTCCAAATCCAAGTGTTCAATTAATAAGTGACCTACAATCCTGATATACACTTCAGGACCTGTGCCTTAATGAGCCATTAACATGTGTATCAATGTAAACTAACCCCCCCATACATATTGCATAAACCACACACTTAAACGTGATCAGTGAACACAAAGTGACCAACTTAAATAAAAAAAATCTTCAAATAACGTTCCAAAAAATTAAAGTTCATAAATCCTCTATATACGTGCTCCACGTAACAATAGCTCATGCAAAGTGACGATTTTCTGTGATGGTGTCAGCACACCAATCCTCTTGTGGCTAAAATGCCCCCTCACCTTCAATCTTCAACCCAAAGGGCCACTAAGCCTCCAAGATCATTCCTAGATCTTTCTCCAGTAATGGTTAGTATCCTCAGTAATCCGTCCTTGGATCCCTTCTCAGGTTCATGATCAATACTCAAGACCTCTCAGGACAGTTTCACCAGCTAGATATATCACTCACCATGAACCATGATGAGTGAAAAAAAAAAGGATCTTGTTCAAAGCTCAAATATCAGCAATGTACAGTAAAAAAAAAACACATGCATGGGTGTACTGCATGAGTTAGGACTCATCTGGGTGTTCCAAGATGGTGCCTGCGCCGGATGTGTGTCACCACGGACCGGAAGCTGCATCACGGCGTATCTACACGTTGCGTCACTATACCATGTGACAGGCGGCTGAGTGTACTTGTTTGTAAAGTAGTGGAGGTTCTACATCCAAGGTTCCTCATTGTATAGATCGATGCTGTGAGGAATCTGATAACCGCTATGTGTTATGCGGGGAGGAAAATATCTGAGTGCCTTTTGGGCAGTTCTGGGACAAGGTCATCTAGCACTCAAGGTGAAGGGGACAAACTGCACCCCCCCCCCCCCAAAAAAAAAACAGCACTAATCAACATGCTTACCCCTTAATTATAAATCCCTTCTGCAAGCCCAAATTCTACCCAAACAAGAATGCAAAAATTCCCCATCCTCACACTCC